CTCTGAGGCTCCTTCAGCCAGAGCAGAAAATACATTTGCTCTCCCTGTAACTGAAGACATCCCTCTCTATTCCTCAGGTTGAGGACAAGCCTACTTCACCATTAATGGGATCCATGATGTTCTCATTCACTGTATCTTTACATACCCTCTCACTTCCCTCCCTTAACACACTGCCAGGTTTCTTCTCTCATCTGACCCATGCTGGGGGACATGGGACTATCTGTCTATCTCCTGTGTCATACCCTGATGGACAGGGTCAGTTGGTGGCCAGACACTGTCAGTAGGTGGTACTCTAAGGCAGCTGAAGGCCTCAGGGCCTATCTCCTGGGCCAGTAGAGGGAGAAGAGGAGGAAGCAGAGCCAGGGACAGAAGAGGATTGGCTAACTATTCCAACAAGGCTTGGAGATCAGCCAGTCACTTGACATATCCCAGTTGGGGACCCACATCTTAATTGATAACATAGAAAATCACATGGCAAATCGTTTTTCCTTTTAAGAAATTTTCCACCTGCATTTTGTAAGTGCTTTGAAAGGATTACGTTTTCCAAAATCATAAATAAAGCTGAAACTCCAAATGAGAATCGGTTAACTGGCAGGATAAAAAGTATGGATATGAAAAGAATTTCTGGGGTTGCCTTAGACATTAGATATTAAGAAACTTCAACTGCTGCTAGCAGTTTGATGAAACAAACTACCATGTTGGAGAAGCCCACGTGGCAAATAATTGAAGGTGGTCTCTGGCCAACAGACAAGTAGCAACTGAGGCTCTCAGTCCGGCAGCCCTTGAGGAACTAAATCCTGCCAACAACCATGTCATCTTACGATCCTTCCCCAGTGAACCTTCAGATGCGAGCCCAACACTGGTTGACTCCTTCATCACAGCCTGGGAGACACTCTGAAACAGAAGCCAGGGAAGCTTTGTCCAGATTCCTGAAACTGAGATAATAAATGTGCATTGGTATAAAAGAAAAGAAAGAAGCTTACTTCTAAATTTGAGTTTTACTACCATAAAGATATGGGCTGGTGAATACATAATGGGGTTGATGCATACTGACAAGATTAATCTATTAGCACTTTTGCCATAGATCTGCCAGTTTCAGAAGACATACAAGCAAACTCTAGAGCTCATCACTTGTCAGAGCTAGAGTAAGAAAGAGAAACAAAACCAAGCCTGGCTTTTCTGAGCTTTTTCCATCATGCCTGTTTTCTTGGTTATGTCTTGCCAGGAAAAAGACTCCTCGATTGCTACGGACCGATCCTTTTTGAGTATGCTTCCAGGCCAGTCCCTCACAGACAAACTTTACAACATTTGGATTCGCCTTCAGAGCCACGTCAATATTGTGTTTGATAGTGAGATGGACAAATTAATGATGGAAAAATACCCTGGCATTAGACAGGTGAGCAGTAAGTTGATCCCCATTGCTAGCTGACCGGGTTAAATAATAAA